TTTGCTTAGGAAGCCTCGAGTCATTCATCCTCACGAGGTGACGTGCCCCATCTGAGTTGATACTTGATCACGATGGCCTCTATGCTGGATGAGTTGGATCGCTCCAGGACACCGATATTAGTTCGTCTTTCTTCCCTGGTGATATTTAGTATTTTCCTGAGACAGCTTTGATTAAATGTTTCGAGAGATTTTATGTGTTTACGATAGGTGGTCCAGGTTTCTGCACCATATAAGAGGGTTGTGACTAGGAGCTTCTAGCCGCATTAGGCCTGCCCCGCTCGCCACTTGCCAATCGCCCAAGGGCTTTGGGTGTGTAGTGTGGTGGTGCGATGGCACAGTTTCCCTGGAGGGTGCCAGTGCGTGAATTAATTTACGTGCAGTGTCTGTTGCACGCCAGGCTACCGCACGGGGCCTAACCAGGAACCAAGCCTGGGTCCAATGGCGAGGCAGAAAACCAAAACGATTGGAAGACTCGTCCTGAACAACCAGACATCCAGTGGCTCCTCCGCCACGTGCCGGTGGCCATCTGGACCGTAGCTCATCCGCCCCACCGGGGTGGGCCATTGGCCACTTGGTATCCACCCAGGATTTTATCAGGGTTTACTCCCTTGGCCTAAGCGGCTAACCAGAGCCCTGTTAGCCAGCGCGTTTCCAAGTGAGTCCAGACAGGCCTTGGTTACCGAAGCGGCCCAGGTGGTCGAACCACCCACCATACTTTGCCCTGTCTGCCAATCCTGAACTTTACCTGTTACCACCTCCTACGACGTGGGCGAGGGGTTGGTTTTTGGGAGGCACTACACTATACACTACTATACTCTATACACTACACTACTATACTCTATACACTACTTGACACAGACTCTAGCTCTTCCTGGGAAATTCCTAGGCGTTCCCAGGCCAGCCGAGCGGCATAGTCCCGCCGGCAGCGTGTCCTGGGCCGGCCACGGGGTCATCACCCAGTAAGTCCGTATCAAAGTAAAAATGCACAATAGCGAGTTCAGAGCGGGAATACTGCGAGACTGAGGACTAAGCGGACAGCCGCCGAGGTGGCGTGTCTCATCTTCACAGACAGTTTCAAGCGGAGTAACAACATTCTGCACGCACCTCCCCAATGTCAGCGCAACCTACACTCGCGAATGCCGCATGTTGGCGGGTCGCGAATAGGGAATTCGTATACGTTTAGTAACCCGCGAATATTAAAAACTCGCGAATCCAGAACCCGCACTGGGGGTATCGGTAAGAGCGCGAAAAATAATAATAATAATAATACGCACGATAAACGTAATTTCATGAGCAACAAGATGATATTCGGCGCACCCCTATCTGCGTCGTGGACTCCGTAGCCCCCTTCGCCTGCACGGGATGCTGAGCTTTTGCTTGGTTGTTGGGTTGCGTACGCTTAAGACAGAAAAACAATAATTTACATGTATAAAGCGCCCTTAAAACAATCGTTTTCCAGTGGCGCTATCCGTGAAAAAGTCAGAAAATAGCTTAAAGTTAACCGAGGAAAGAAGAAGTGAGAAAGACGGTGTGAAAATAACTAAAGACACAGAGAGAAAGCCACTTTAAACAGATTTGTTTTTCGTGGAAATTTGAGGATTCGTGAAGATTCTCCAAAGCCCCCTGACCTCGAATGTGTCGCAATTGCAAGGGCGTCGTCATCACCCCCCCCCACCCCCCCATGGTGACAGCGAGCAGCGAACAACCTGAGGGTCTCGATGGTGTTGATGGAATATTCGTGGCTGAAGCGAGGTCATGGGTGTGGGGAAGAGCAAGTCCATTTCAGATCCCACCACTAACCCAGGACCAGGATTAATGTTCTTGTAGGCCCTTGACACTTCTGTTTCGTAGGCCTTTGGTGATAAGTTGATACAGTTGCTGCTGCTGCTGCTACTGCCCCATGTCACTACCGCGGCCGCTGTCACTCCGCTTGTTCCACGCGGTGCTTCGTCCAGCCGCTGGACAGATGACGTTACCGATGCGTTCCACTATTTAGTCTGCGCCCTAATTGGATGGGAGCGCGCTGTGTGCCGCAGATAAGCAGATAAAATTTGATACGCCGCGCCTATCCTTGCGATATAAATACATTTATTCGAGCAGATACCTTGGTTGCATTTTGTTTTCGTACCAACAAAAACCACACACACACGCGGTCAAAATGATGTTTTCGTATGCCCTCGGTCACAGTGGCCTATTGGATAATAGGGCCCTGGCCACTGCCCGAGGCGCAACGCGACCCCAACACAATCATGTAATACGCACGCTTGGTGTTATTAGCGGTCGTGTTATTGTAGTGATGATGATGGGTATTGTGATGGTTGTGGTGGTTGCTTGTTCTGGTGGTGCGGACAGCGTTCGCGCAGCGGTTCAGCGCGCTGAGCTGCGAACCCGGCGGCCCCGAGTTCGATTCCCCGCTTACGGCCGACGCCGGTGACGATTATTCGAACCGGTCCAGGCCCTCCCCTAGGTCGACTTGGTGCGGTGGTGTGTAAACATCGCCACTGGGGAGACAAAGGCGGCCGGGCGTGGTGCTGGCCACCCACCCCCTCGTGTGCCACAGTGCCGGTAGCCTTCATAGGTGCTGCTCGCTAACAGCGCTTGCCCCAACAGTCTGTTAAGGCTACACGGGGCAGGATCTTTATCTTTGTGACTGTGGTGGATGTCGTGGTTATTGCTGTTGCGACTGTGGTAATTTTGACAGTTGTTGTGGTTGCAATTGTGGTCATCGATGCGGTAATCGTGGTTGTGGTGGTAGTGGTGGGATATTGCCAATTTGGTTTTGTTGATGTGGTTACGGTGGTCGTGGTTGTCGTTGAACCTTGCGGCGTCGCCCCCCCCCCCCCCCCCCCCCCCCCCCGGTACAGACACCGCCGCAGACGGAACGCAACAGAATCTCACGTAGTATACAATGTATGTTTAATGCAATAGAATACCGTATATTTATATATCACATATATATTTTTCATACGCATACCGGTACTTTCCTCATACCCATTTAAACACTGGCCAGGCACGGCTCCGTCCGCCTCTGTCCCACGGTTCTCCTTCGCTCGCTTGAGTTTAGACAGTGAAAGAGCTTTCGGGTGTGCAGGCGGTGCAACTGCTCTGGTGGGGGCGGGTGTGGGCGAGGTGGGGGGTGGAAATTGTATGGGAGGGCCCCATTTCATCCCTTGCACCAGAGTCCATGCCCGACCAAGATACACTACACTGAGGCACCAGCGACACAGAGACCCACACTGTGAGCCATCGACTCGCACTGAGCATAGACTCACACCGAGATCCATAGACTCACACTGACAGCCATAGACTCACACCGAGATCCAAAGACATTCACTTTAGAGTCATAAACTCGCATAGAGACCCATAGACTCACACTGAGAGCCACAGACTCGCACTGAGAGCCATAGACTCGCATAGAGACCCATAGACTCGCATAGAGACCCATAGACTCGCAGAGAGACCCATAGACTCGCACTGAGAGCCATAGACTCGCATAGAGACCCTTAGACTCACACTGAGAGCCATAGACTCGCATAGCGACCCATAGACTCGCACAGAGACCCATAGACTCGCATAGAGACCCATAGACTCGCACAGAGACCCATAGACTCGCTCTGAGAGCCACATACTCGCATAGAGACCCATAGACTCGCACTGAGAGCCATAGACTCGCACTGAGCGCTATAGACTCGCACTTTAGAGCCATAGACTCACACTGAGAGCCACAGACTCACACAGAGACCCATAGACTCGCACATAGACCCATAGACTCACACAGAGACCCATTGACTCGCACAGAGAGCCATATACTCACACTGAGAGCCATAGACTCGCATAGAGACCCATAGACTCGCACTGAGAGCCATAGAATCGCATAGAGACCCATATACTCGCACTGAGAGCCATAGACTCACACAGAGACCCATAGACTCGCACTGAGACCCATAGACTCGCACTGAGACCCATAGACTCGCACAGAGACCCAGAGACTCGCACAGAGACTCATAGACCCACACAGAGACCCATAGACTCACACAGAGACCCATAGACTCGCACAGAGACCCATAGACTCGCACTGAGAGCCATAGACTCGCATAGAGAGCAATAGACTCGCACTGAGAGCCACAGACTCGCATAGAGACCCAAAGACTTGCACTGAGAGCCATAGACTCGCACTGAGAGCCATAGACTCACACAGAGACCCATAGACTCGCACTGAGAGCCATAGACTCGCATAGAGACCCATAGACTCCCACCGAGAGCCATGAGAGCCATAGACTCACATAGAGACCGTTAAGGTCAATACAGGGCCCCATGTCAACCAGCGATACCACTGGGCTGAGTGGGCAGAACCATGTGCCGTAGTACGGTGGCGTTGTAGTGTAGCGCAACAATCACCGCCACAACGACCACGGCCAAGAATATCAATGAATAATCGAGGTTTACATTATGAGACCTCCTTTGCCAGTAACAAGATATAGTAATAGGTGTTACCCTTTTAGCTGGCACAAAAACTGACACCTTTATTCAAGGCATCATGTTTGCAATAACCACAACACCAGTGGAGACTAGGCTCTAAGAAAAGCCGTCTCGGGTGTGGACCAATCAAATTCAAGGACAGTGCATATCATTATCAGAGTTGTCTCTTTTGTTTGCATTTTGACTGCTTGTGTTGTGGTTATTGCAAACATGATGCCTTGAATAAAGGTGTCAGTTTTTGTGCCAGTTAAAAGGGTAAAACCTATTACTATTACAATAATCGAGGTGTTTGGGGTTAGATCGCGTAAGTATTCATGTTGTGTGTTGTAACCCTCCACCACCCGACACAGCCAGTGAGGTTTGTCACATGAACAAAACGCGCCGATGAGTTACTTGTGTAGTGTAGCGTGTAGCGTATAGTGTAGTGTAGTACTTCAGCCCACCGGTGTGTTCGAGAGTAAATCTACAACTTTTACAATTTGAGTCCCGTGACGTTTCGTTGGTAACTACATCAATCAGCATCATCGGGCGGTTTGCCAGAACGGTGAAGCGATGCACAGATAGAGCAAGATGAGATCGTTGCTGCGAGCCAATCAGGTGCGTATCAACATAGCGACCGCAACTACCACAACAATACCACCACAGCAAGAACAACAACAACAACAATCATGATCGCATCGTCAACAACAATAGTCACAGCTATCACGGTAATGGTAGTAGGCACGAATGCAACGCGTGATAGTGTGGTTGGTGATGTCCATGGTGATTTGGTTGGTGATGTGGTTGGTGAAGTGGTTATTTCACGAGTTCAACCTTTACTATCACCTCTATCGCCATCATCGCCAATATCACCACCACCTAAATCATCTCCCCAAACATCACCACAGCCACCGGTATCACCACCGCCACCAACACCGTCGCCGCCATTACCATCATCGCCACCAATATCACCACCACCTACATCACCTCCTCAAACGTCACCACCACCATCGGTGTCGCCACCACCACCACCGCCGTCACCACCAACACCGTCACCATCTCCGCCACCACCGCCGCCACCACTGCCACCACCACCGCCACCACCACCACCACCGCCACCGCCACCACCACCACCACCACCGCCACCACCACCACCACCGCCACCACCACCGCCACCACCACCGCCGCCACCACCACCACTGCCACCATCGCCACCACCACCGCCACCATCACCGCTCTCCTCCTCTTCCTCTTCGACCGTCAACTGAATCTGAAACCTGGCTCGTGTCTTCTGGCCGCCATTACCGCCACCATCAGCATCGCCGCTATCGTCATCACAGTGGGTCTTGTACCACTCCCTGTTCTCCTGGAGTTGGTCCACGATGCCCTGCGCGTCGGGATACACCAGCTCGGCCCACGTCTCCCACAGGGGGTGCGCCACGAAATCGATGAAGTAAACCTGAGAAGAGGGAAAAGAGGAGAGCGATGGGGGGCGGGCAGGGGGGCGAGACAAGAGAGGGAATAGGAGGGGACGCGTGTAAATGTCTGTGCGTACGTTCAACTTCTCTCGTACCGTACATAGCCAACCGTGCCAATCGCAGGTGCGGGGATGGACAACAAACTATGGATCTCTTTGTGGAGTCTATGGGTCTCTGTGTGAGTCTATGGGTCTCTTTGTGGAGTATATGGGTCACTGTGTAGAGTCTATGGGTCTCTGTGTAGAGTCTATGGGTCTCTGTGTGAGTCTATGGGTCTCTTTGTGAGTCTATGGGTCTCTGTGTAGAGTATATGGGTCTCTGTGTGAGTCTATGGGTCTCTGTGTGAGTCTATGGATCTCTTTGTGGAGTCTTTGGGTCTCTGTGTGAGTCTATGGGTCTCTTTGTGGAGTATATGGGTCACTGTGTAGAGTCTATGGGTCTCTGTGTAGAGTCTATGTGTCTCTTTGTGAGTCTATGGGTCTCTGTGTAGAGTATATGGGTCTCTGTGTAGAGTCTATGGGTCTCTGTGTAGAATCTATGGGTCTCTGTATAGAGTCTATGGGTGTCTGTGTAGAGTCTATGGGTCTCTGTGTGAGTCTATGGGTCTCTGTGTGAGTCTATGGATCTCTTTGTGGAGTCTTTGGGTCTCTGTGTGAGTCTATGGGTCTCTTTGTGGAGTATATGGGTCACTGTGTAGAGTCTATGGGTCTCTGTGTAGAGTCTATGTGTCTCTGTGTGAGTCTATGAGTCTCTGCGTAGAGTCTATGGATCTCTTTGTGGAGTCTATGGGTCTCTTTGTGGAGTCTATGGGTCTCTGTGTAGAGTATATGGGTCTCTGTGTAGAGTCTATGGGTCTCTGTGTAGAATCTATGGGTCTCTGTATAGAGTCTATGGGTGTCTGTGTAGAGTATATGGGTCTCTGTGTGAGTCTATGGGTCTCTGTGTAGAGTCTATGGGTCTCTGTGTGAGTATATTGGTCTCTGTGTGAGTCTATGTGTCTCTGTGTGAGTCTATGGGTCTCTGTGTGAGTCTATGGGTCTCTGTGTGAGTCTATGGGTCTCTGTGTGAGTCTATGTGTTTCTGTGTAGTCTATGGGTCTCTGTGTAGAGTCTATGGGTCTCTGTGGAGTCTATGGGTCTCTGTGTGAGTCTATTGGTCTTTGTGTAGTCTATGGGTCTCTGTGTAGAGTCTATGGGTCTCTGTGTAAGTCTATGGGTCTCTGTGTAGAGTCTATGGGTCTCTGTGTAGTCTATGGGTCTCTGTGTAGAGTCTATGGGTCTCTGTGTAGAGTCTATGTGTCTCTGTGAAGTCTATGGGTCTCTGTGTAGAGTCTATGGGTCTCTGTGTAGTCTCTGGTTCTCTGTGTGAGTCAATGTGTCTCTGTGTGAGTCTATGGGTCTCTGTGTGAGTCTATGGGTCTCTGTATAGAGTCTATGGGTCTCTGTGTGAGTCTATGTGTCTCTGTGTATAGTCTATGGGTCTCTGTGTGAGTCTATGGGTCACTGTGTAGGGTCTATGTGTCTCTGTGTGAATCTATGAGTCTCTGCGGCTTCCCCTCTCTATTTAAAAGCGAACATTGCCTCTTGTTGGCACGTGGTGCTGAGGGGTCAGGGGTTGTGATCCCTAACCTGCGTCCCCTCCTCTCTATCGGGGTTTGAAGGGTCAGGGGTTAGGGGTCAGGGGTGGTGGTCCCTGACCTGTGTCCCCCTCTATAGGGGCCTGAGTGAGGGGTCAGGGGTGAGGGGTCAGCGGTCACGGTCCCTGAACTGAATCCCTCTCTAAAGGGGCCTGAGTGAGGGGTCAGGGTTGTGGTCCTTGACCTGCGTCCCCCCTCTCTGTAGGGACCTGAGTGAGGTGTTAGGGGTTAGGGGTCAGGGGTCGTGGTCCCTGACCGCGCTTCCCCCTTTCTGAATAGGGCCCTGAGCGAGGGGTCGGGGGATCGCGGTGAAAACTACTGGACGCCCGTGAAAAACAAACAGAACTTTGTAGCGCGTCGGATTCCTCCGGTGCAAGTGCATATTCCGCTGATTCCGTGGCCTCGAACCCGCGACCACGGAATCGGCGCGGGGCTCCCCCTGACCTGCGCCGTCTCGATGGAGGCCGCGGCGGGGTCGCACATGGCGCTGGGCGCGAGGCCCAGGCCCAGCTCGCGCTGCCCCTGCAGGCGGAACTCGCGCGACACGAGGCGCGTCCAGTGCCGGCTCAGGGCCAGCGGCTTGGCCGGGTTGCCCAGGTCCGCGCAGTGCAGCAGGCTCTTCAGCACCTGCCGGCGGCGGCGGGCAAGGCGGGGTAGCAGGGGCAGCGGTAGCGGCAGGGGCAGCGGCTATGGGTCTCTGTGTGAATCTAAGTACGCGTGTACGGTCAATTTCTTTTGCGCCGTACGTAGCCGAACGTGATCGTTAAATATATAATCAGAGGTGCAGGGGAAGGACAAGAAACTAAATACAAAAAGCAGTTCTAGGGAAATGAGTTTTAAATCTTGATTCCAGACGATTTAAAAGTGCATAGCTCCCGGTGCCTCCCTAACATCGGGAGCAAGAGCGTTCCAGACGGCCGCAGAAGCGCGCGCATCTGAAAGCGCCACGCGATGCGGTGACCGCCGTCTTTGTTCGACGGCCAGCAGCCAAAAGGCGCCGCGGTGACGGGCCCTGGGGACACGTGACGATGGGGCCAGACCGCCCCCGCTGCGGCTCAATGTGCGCGCGACGGAGAGGCGCGGTGGCGTTTGACGGGGGGCGGGGGGGGGGGGGGCGACCATCACCTGAATGCGGTCGGTGTAGGAGTCGAGCAGGAGAACTCCAGACGACGTCAGCTTCTTGGTCTCCACCATCGTCTTGAGGTCGGCCAAGAGATTCATGTGCTTGGACATGTCTGTGGCGAGCACCTGCAAGATTGTGGCCGGGGCATCAGTGCCGTGATGTTACCTCCCTCTCGTGGTATGCTGCAGAAGGTCGTGGGTACGATCCCAGACCCTGACGATGCCTGTTTGTATGTTTGGAGTCCGCGTGTTCTCCCTCTCCCCGTGGTGGTAGCGTGGATATTTCTCCGCGTCCTGCTGTTTTTATCCCCCCCCCCCTCCACATCGCCGCGCTTTTAGATAATTTGGCTGCTGCTATAAATCCCCACGTGTGATGATGATGATGTCAGCCACAGCGTTGGCTTGGTGGGCTTTAGCCGGGAAAATATAATGGTTTAATTCAGTATCTGTTGTCAGCAGCAGCAATAGTAGCAATGGTATTGTCATCGTCGTCGATACATTGATTAAATGAATGAAAATAATCAGCAGCAACAGCTTCATTATCTTTAGCGGCAGCAGCATCATTGCTGTGAGCAGCAGTACGTATGTATGTTGAACTTCTTTCGCACCATACGTAGCCAACCGTGCTAATCGGAGGTGCGGGGCAGGGAAAACAAACTAAACACAAAAAGCAGTTCTAAAGAAATGAGTTTTCACTCGAGATTTAGAAGCAACAACAGCACTGTCACCACCACCACCAGCAGCAGCATCAAGATGCAGCAGGAGCTTCATTATCTTCATGAAAGCCTTGACAGACTATAGGAGCAAGTGCTGTTAGCGAGCACCTATGAAGGCCAAAATGGCACACGAGGGGGTGGGTGACCAGCACCACGCTCCAAGTGGCAATGTTTACACACCGCACCAGGTACTCATTTGAGGCTGAGTCGAATGACGACCATCACCACCTCCACTAACTCACCACCATCACGATCTCAACCATCGCCATCATCATCAACACCACTACAACTACAATCACCACCACCTCTCACCATGTCAATCACCATCTTGCGGAGCGCCAGTCTCTGTTTGTTGCTGAGGTTCTGGAAAATGTCGCAGTCCCCTTCCTGGAGGAGACGGAATCCCGTGGCGAGGTGGTGATTCTCCAGCACAGACTCGTCGTTATAGAGCAGGGCCAGCTCCGAGTCTACACGGAGACACGTGGGGACACGCGGAGACACGTGGGGACACGCGGAGACACAAGACAGACCTCTGTCTATAGAGTCAAAGTATCAACACTGCCATCGTCCATCCTGAGCCCTTGATACTCAACGACTTAAGGTCTTGAGACTCATGGTCTTGAGTCACAGTGTTTTGAGACTGAGGGACACGAGGTCTTTAGACTCAAGGTCTTGTGATTGAGGGCCTTAGAGACTCAATGTCTTGAGACTCAAAGTCTTGGGTCACAGGTTCTCCGGGTCATGACACGCATGGTTTTGAGACTCCGGATCTTGAGACTCAAGTGTCTCGTGGCTCAGGAACTGCTGTGTAGGAGTGTAAGTCTGAGTCAGGCTCTCAGGGGGTGTGGAGTCTCAGGGCGAGGGTTTGAGTTCAGCTCGAGGTCTTGCCAGCGTTGATGAGGAGCTGAACTCGTGACCGCCGCTCCATCTCCACGCCAGACGTACTCACTGGTGTTGATGAGGAACTGGTTGGACACCCCGGGATGATCGACGTCGTGAATGGAGCTGGCAAAGATGGCGGCAAATACTTCAAGGTCGGTGAAGACAGCCTAGAGGTCAGAAAGCAGAGGTCGCGACATTTGACCTAACGGCTCTACGACCGAGCTTGCGAAGCCTTCTTCTTACAATCTGCATCCTCTACGCCACTGGTTCTTAGCCTCTACTGCAGCCTTGCAACCCTTTGGTTCTCAATCGTTTAAAAAAAAACGTATCTTAAATACATAGGGTATGATGAAACAAAGTAAGTTGTTACGTACGTGCCTCTGCTCAATTTGTGTTCAAATGATTTACCTTCTAAAATAACCTGGCAATGTCTCATGCCCCCCAGGGGGTGCGTGCACCCCAGCTTAAGAAACAACTCCCCTGCACAACGAGCTCCCGCACGTGAGCCCATTTCACTGCTCCGCCTGTTGGGTGGAAGTCCTCTCTGACGAGTTCCATCCCTTGGCCTCCCACTCCGTCGTCATCCTTTGGCCATCAACCGCCGTCCACCCTTCTCGCGACGAGCCCAGCCCCAAGCCTGAGAGTATTCCGTTCACATTTAAATGGTGCCATCGTCCTGCGCACATGCTCTAATCCTGTCTGTTCCTCGACGCGATTCCAAGCGTGCATCTCTCCACGCTTCTTTGACGTTTTCGTCAATGGCCGCGTTTCTGAGCCATACGTCACAGCGAGCGCCCTTCCTTCCGATATTAGAAAGCCACTGGAGCTCCGTGCTTGTAAATCATCCAGCTTGAAAACTGGTTTCTTTAAATCTGCTTTTCGTGTTTAGTTTGTTGTCCTTCCTCATTACACACACAAAGTGCTTTCCACAAATGAGCCACAATACCTTGCCGATCTCGTCAAGGAACGTAAACCATCATCACGCGGAATCTGGTTCATCCTCGCAACGGCGGCTCTTGGCCGGCCACTGAACAAAGGCGGTCACCGCATCGCGAGCTTTCGGATGCGCTTCTGTGGCCGTCTGGAACGCTCTTCCTTCCGATATTAGGAAGCTACCGGAGCTATGCACTTTTAAATCATATAGATTGAAAACTAATTTATTTTAAACCGAATTATGTGTTTAGATTGTTGTCTTTCCCCCACACCTCCGATTGGTGCAAGTGCTGTTAGCGAGCACCTATGAATGCCAGCACAGCACACGAGGGAGTGGATGGCCAGTACCACGCCCGGCCGCCTTTGTCTCCCCAGTGGCGATGTTTACTACACATCGCACCAGGTACTCATTTGAGGCTGAGTCGACCTAGGGTAGGCCCAGGACCGGTTCAGATATTCGTCAACGATGTTGGCCGTGAGCGGGAATCGAACTCGGATTCATAGCGCAGCCTCCCAACTATCAACGAAGTGGCCCAACACCACCATCACCACCACCACCACCACCACCATCACCACCACCATCACCACCAAAATCACGACCATCACCACCACCACCATCACCACTACCACCATCATCACCATCATCACCACCACCACCATCACCACCACCATCACCACCACCATCACCACCATTATCACCATCACTACTATCACCACCACCACCATCATCACCACCACCACCACCATCACCACCACCATCACCACCACCATCACCACCATCACCACCATCATCACCACCACCATCACCACCACCATCACCACCACCACCACCATCACCACCACCATCACCACCATCACCACCACCATCACCACCACCATCACCACCATTACCACCACCATCACCACCATCACCACCACCACCACCATCACCACCATTACCACCACCATCACCACCATCACCACCACCATCATCACCACCACCATCACCACCATCACCACCACCATCACCACCACCATCACCACCATCACCACCACCATCATCACCACCACTATCACCACCATCACCACCACCATCACTACCACCACCATCATCACCACCACCACCATCACCACCACCATCATCACCACCACCATCACCACCACCATCACCACCATCATCACCACCATCACCATCACCACCACCACCATCACCACCATCATCACCACCACCACCATCACCACCACCATCATCACCATCACCACCACCATCACCACCACCACCATCACCACCACCATCACCATCACCACCATCATCACCACCACCATCACCACCACCACCATCACCACCACCACCACCATCACCACCACCACCATCATTTCCCCGTCCACCACCATCACCACCACCATCACCATCACCACCACCATCACCATTACCACCACCATCACCACCATCACCACCACCATCACCACCATCACCACCATCACCATCACCACCACCATCATCACCACCACCATCACCACCACCACCATCACTACCATCACCACCACCACCACCACCATCATCACCACCACCATCACCACCATCATCACCACCATCACCACCACCATCATCACCATCACCACCACCATCACCACCACCACCACCATCACCACCAACACCACCACCACCATCACCACCACCATCACCACCATCATTGCCCCGTCCACCACCATCACCACCACCATCACCACCATCACCACCACCACCACCTCCATCACCACCACCATCACCATCACCACCACCACCACCATCACCACCACCATCACCACCACCACCATCACCACCAGCACCACCATCACCACCACCATCACCACCACCACCATCACCACCACCATCACCACCACCACCACCACCATCACCACCACCACCACCATCACCACCACCATCACCACCACCACCACCATCATCACCACCACCATCACCACCATCACCACCACCACCACCACCATCACCACCACCATCACCACCATCACCATCACCACCACCACCACCATCACCACCACCACCATCACCACCACCACCATCACCACCACCACCACCATCACCACCACCACCATCACCACCATCACCATCACCACCACCACCATCACCACCACCATCACCACCACCATCACCATCACCACCACCATCACCACCACCATCACCACCACCATCACCATCACCACCACCATCACCACCACCATCACCACCATCACCACCACCATCACCACCACCATCATCACCACCACCATCACCACCATCACCACCACCATCACCACCACCACCATCACCACCATCGCTCCCTCCACCACCACCACCATCACCACCACCATCGCTCTCACGTTGAGGGCCATCGCGTTGAGGAGCACGTGCGTGGAGTGGGTGACGTCGGCCGCGTGCAGGCTGTTGTGGAAGGGCACGTGACGGTGGTAGTGAGACTCCAGCGAGAGGAGGAACGAGACGAGGCGGCGAGGGGGCACGCGGAACGTGCGGAGGAGATCACGCTCCTGCGATGGGGGGGGAGGAGGAGGAGGAGTAGGAGTACATCGCACCCTACGTAGATAACAATCATGCTAATCGGAAGGACAACAAACTAAACACAGAAAGCAGTTGTCAAGAAATGAGTTCTCAATGTACTATCGTGGTGTAGTGTATGGTGCAGTATATAGTAGTGTATAGTAGTTTACTGGATAGTAGTGTATAGTGTAGTGTATCGTGTAGTGTATGTAGAACTTCTTTCACACCGTACGTAGCCAACCGCGCTAAGCAGGTAAGGCCCACCGAACTATGTAGCTCTTTTTAAGAAGCCATTTGGCCATCATAAACGATAGCTTAACGAAGTGTGGAAATGTATAAACGCACGTTCATTCTAAGTGTGGAGGGACGAATCGGAAGACCCGGAGAAAAATCCACGCGACCATGAGAAGGGAGACACGCACACTCCAAATATACAGGAATCAGGGTCGGGATCGAACCCACGACCTCCTGTATACCAGTCGAGGCAGTTAACATCTCCTAGCCACCACGGTGCCCTCATCATCATCTTCATAAGCATCATTGCCAAAACTGATAATCAATATCGACAGCTACAAGATTATCGTCACTTGTCATCATTCGCATCGATAACCTGACTACCAATGTCGACCTTATTAGAATCGACGTTATTCGTGACGTCGTTAGGTACATGTCAATCAACAACCCGGACACTCTTGCACATGAGATGTTCCATCCCGAAGGGATTTTCTGGGTGAAATATCGCAATAGAATCATTAACATCGTCAGCATCATCAAACAACATCGCTGTCATCCGTCTTGCTGTAGTTTTGGATGTCTCTCTGTCTCTCCCCGTGGTCGCATGGACATTCCTCCGGGTCCTCCATCCACATTTAAAATCAACAACGTGCGTTCAGAGTTATTTGGCCGCCATAAATTTCCACACGGTGATAAGCGACTTCCGTTGAACTCTCATTTCTGCCGGCCAGGTCGCTTCTGACAAAAAGAAGAGCGATATAGCTCAGCGGGGCCTCAACCGGGAACGATACGAAGAACATAAAGTTTCGTATAAATTGTACTGCTCGCGAGGACACAGACAGAATCTGTGCAGCGGCCTCCGTCTCGCTGTTCCACTTTGGCATTGGCTCACGGTGAAATAGCCCAGCGGTGGCGTTGCGCTTGCCTATCGGTGGAGAGATTTTCACTGCTCGAATCCGGCAGGCAGGCCGGAATCCAACTCAGCCATACGACCATAATAGAGGTTTTTTTTTTGGGTTAGATCGCGTAAATCTATAAATGTGTCGTTAAACCCGCCACCACCCGACGCAGCCAACTAGTAAGGTTTGTCACGTAAACAGAACGTGGCCAATTCGTCACTAGTACAGCACACCGGTGTTTGGAGAGCAAAGCCACAACATTTACAACCTGAGTTTAATCTCAGCCACACAACAAAAACAACAGCCGCCGTTCGCCACTAGGTGGCGATGACGTCACCATGGCACGTGCACCTGGACAGGGGCACTCCGTGGCCACCAGACCAAGGTACGCAGGCACACAGCTGCCGGTACCTTGAGGATGGTGTAGACGGTGGCGGTGAGAGGGAGATTTGCAGATAAGCTATCGATCGCGAAAACGTCCAATCCCCACTCGTTCACACTCGCCAGCTCCTGTAACACAGCATCGTCACACACACACGGCATCGTCACACACGGTATCGTCACACACGGTATCGTCACACACACATGGAATCGTCACACACAGCATCGTCACACACGGTATCGTCACACACGGTATCGTCACACACACACGGCATCGTCACACACGGTATCGTCACACACGGTATCGTCACACACACATGGAATCGTCACACACAGCATCGTCACACACGGTATCGTCACACACGGTATCGTCACACACACATGGAATCGTCACACACAGCATCGTCACACACGGTATCGTCACACACGGTATCGTCACACACGGTATCGTCACACACACATGGAATCGTCACACACAGCATCGTCACACACGGTATCGTCACACACGGTATCGTCACACACACGTGGCATCGTCACACACGGTATCGTCACACACGGTATCGTCACAGAGCTTCGTCACATACGGCATCGTCACACACGGCATCGTCACACAGAGCATCGTCAGAATCAGAGTATACTGTAGGAATCCGAGAAGCTATGAAGCTCTTTGTCACATGTTACGACAACAAACAGTAGAAAAACACGAGTCCAAAGTATAATAAAAGTAAACAAATCACAAAAATATATACAAATAAAAGTCAACTACTGTATTTAAATTTACCGGGTAAAGCCCACTGAGCTATGAGCTTCCTTTTCAGAAGTGACCAGGCCACAAATGATAGCTCAACAAAGTGGCTCATCATCGCGTGGACATTGAACGCAGCCACAATCCACCTCGCTCCTGCAAGGCGGCTTTATAGATGCATCTCCTACAAGGTGGATTTATGGCTCCATCTCCTACAAGGTGGATTTATGGCTCCATCTCCTGCAAGGTGGATTTATCGATCCATCTCCTGCAAGGTGGATTCATGGCTCCATCTCCTGCAAGGTGGATTTATGGCTCCATCTCCTGCAAGGCGGATTTCATGGCTCCATCTCCTGCAAGGTGGATTTATGGCTCCATCTGCTGCAAGCTGGATTCATGGCTCCATCTCCTGCAAGGTGGATTCATGGCTCCATCTCCTGCAAGGTGGATTTATGGCTCCATCTCCTGCAAGGTGGATTTATGGCTCCATCTCCTGCAAGGTGGATTTATCGATCCATCTCCTGCAAGGTGGATTTATGGCTCCATCTCCTGCAAGGTGGATTTATGGCTCCATCTCCTTCAAGGTGCTTGATTATCAAACGGCAATTTATATCAGCCAAATACTTTAAACGCGTGACGTTGATTCTAAATGTGGAGGGGAAAACCGGAGGACCCGGAGAAAAATCCACGCGACCACGGGGAGAGAGACGAAACTGCAAACTCCAAATATACAGCAGCAGGCGTCAGGGTCGAGATCGAACCCACGACCTCCTGTACACCAGACAAGGTCGTTAACATCTCCTAGCCACCGTGATGATGATGATGATGAGACAGGGAGACACCACAAACTCCAAATACACAGCAGCAGGTGTCAGAGTCAGGATCGACCCCACGACCCCCTGCACACCAGGCGAGGAAGTTAACATCTCCTAGCCACCGTGGTGATGGTGAACTCACCTCAGCCAGTTTCTCTTCGTCTGCCACCGGTATCCCGAAGCGAGGAACCGCCTCAGAGTCCAACTCGGGTTGCGGGGAGAGGGGGAGCGGAGGGGTGGGGGTGGGGGGGGAGGAGGTGGAGGAGACAGAAGCTGGAGGCGAACTCGGAAGCTCTACCTCGTGGTGGTCGTCTACACGCGTTGTAGCACACAAAAGACAAAACCACAAAGACGAAGATCCCCCGTACGGCCTTTAACACTTTCGGGGCAAGTGCTGATATAAGCGAGCACCTATGATGGCCGGAACGGCACACGATGGGGTGGGTGACCAGCATCACGCCCGGCCGCCTTTGTCTCCCCAGTGGCGATGTTTACTACACACCACACCGCTACACCAGGTACTCATTTGAGGCTGAGCCGACCAAGGGGAGGTCCAGGATTAATTGAGATAATCGTCACCGGCGTTGGCCGTAAGCGGGAGTCGAACTCGGGTCGCCGGGTTCGCCGTGCAGCGCGCTAACCGCTACGCCACCACTCCACACACACACACAGACACACGTGTACACACACACAGACACACGTGTACACACACACCAATATACGTGTACACACACACCAATATACACACGTGTACACACACACCAATATACACACGTGTACACACACACCAATATACACACACGTGTACACACACACCAATATACACACACACACGTGTACACACACCGCAATATACACACACACACACGTGTACACACACACCAATATACACACACGTGTACACACACACCAATATACACACGTGTACACACACACCAATATACACACACACACACGTGTACACACACCCCAATATACACACGTGTACACACACATACACACGTGTACACACACACCAATATATACACACACACACCAATATACACACACACGTGTACACACACACCAATATATATACACACACACACGTGTACACACACAACAATATACACACAGACACACGTGTACACACACCAATATAGACACACACACGTGTACACACACACCAATATATATATACACACACACGTGTACACGCACACCAATATACACACAAACAAAGATATACACACACAAAAATATACACAGACACACGTGTACACACACACCAATATATACACACACACACGTGTACACATACACCAATATATATACACATACACACGTGTACACACACACACCAATATATACACACACACACGTGTACACACACACCAATATATACACACACACACGTGTACACACACACCAATATACACACACACGTGTACACACACACCAATATACACACGTGTACACACACACCAATATACACACAACAACAACCGCCATTCGCCACTAAGTGGCGGTGACGTCACCACGACGCTTGTGCCAGGCTATGTGCACCCTGAGGCCACGTGAAGTGTCGAACGCCCGCTGGCAGGAGGTCACGGGGCAGACCCAAGTGCCACGGGTCGACTGACTGAGATGACTGGCTGATGCACCACCTGTGCCCCCTACTGTGCCAACCCGCTGTGCTTTAGCCACCCGGCGCCCCGCTCGTTGTTGTGAGCGTCGCTCCTCCGCCCTCCGTTGTTGTTGGAGGGCGACTACCTCCAACTGCCCAGTAGCGTCCTTCACGAGCCTCCTCCACAGAGACCGATCTTGACACCGCTGGTACCAGTCATTGGCAAGTCCACTCAGCTCCACGTTCTCCTGTACCACATCACTCCATCTCTTCTCTAGCCCGTGCCGCGCCCGCTTAGCCCCCTCAATCCGGCCGAACAAAAGCTGGGCATGCGGGCTACATGACCCAGCCATCGCAGCTTTGCCCGCCGGAGGAGCTCACCAATGGGACCTTGCCCAGATCTTTCAAGGATTTGTGAGCTCCTCACACAATCCAGTCTGGTTAAACCCAGGATGGATCGTAGGCAGGCCAGCCTAATGTTTCTAACCGGCGAAGATGTTCCATTAGAGGGGTCCACTTTTCGCAAGCGTAGAGAAGGGAGGGAATGACCGTGACCGAGAAGACCTGATGCTTAGTGCGGAGCGACAGACCCGGTAGCTTCCACACAGCGTTACGCAACCGATTAAAAGATATTGCCGCTCGACTGATTCGGAGTGAGACCTCTGCTGTTAAACTGGAGCCGGTCATAAGCACACTGCCCAGGTATGGGAAACTCTCCACTCTCTCCACAACTGCCCCATCACCGATTGGGAGTTGTGGGGATGGAATGTCCGATGGTACAAAATATCCAGGCAGGTGCTTAGTTTTGGTGGGGCTGATGGTAAGGCCCCACCTCTTAGTGGCACGCTCCAGTCTCAGCAGCAGCGTCTCCAAATCCTCCTCTGAATGAGCAGCTATTACCAAATCATCAGCATACATAACGTGGTTGAGCAATAGGGAGCCATCCCTTGACCGCACCCGGGCATCGATCAGCCTCCCATTATATCTGTACCATATGGAGATTCCCCCGGTACAGCTATTGAAGGCTTCACGAACTACGTGGTCAAAATAGATGTTAATTAATGTGGGAGCCAGAGGACATCCCTGTCACACCCCAAGGTGTACAGGGAATGGCTCTGACTCCCGGCCACGTAGTTTTACCCGGGCCCGCTCACCATCATGAAGGTCCTTAATGATCGTGAGCAGATGGTCAGGTACTCCAAAAGCACGAAGAACACACACACGTGTACACACACACCAATATACACACACAAACACACGTGTACACACACACCAATATACACACACAGACACACGTGTACACACACCAATATACACACACAGACACACGTGTACACACACCAATATACACACATACACACACGTGTACACACACCAATATACACACACACGTGTACACACGCCAATATACACACACACGTGTACACGCGCGCACACACGTGCACGAACAAATTTACATATGCATATCTGTACACGTATGTACTGTATGCTTACATGTAGGTATTTGTGTATATGGATGTGTGCATTATCCGATTCCCGCTCAAAGCCAACATCAGTGACTGATATTCGAACAGGTCCCAGGCCTCTTCTGAGTTGACTCAACCTGAAGCATGTGTTCCTGGTGCAGTGTGTAAACTGGGGAGACAAAGGCGGCCGGGCGTGGTGCTGCCCCCCCCCCCCATCATCTCGCACGACCATGTCAGCCTACGTATAGGTCAGGGGTCGGGGAAACCCGAAATAACAAGGGGAGACATTTTATTTGCATTCTGTAAAAAAACCCTCAATATTTTAAGAGCCGCAACGCAACGCGAGGCGGTGGCGGTTAATAGATAAATGACGTCACGGAGCAGCAGTCCTTTAAAGAGCCACCGAACGCTGCCCCGGAGCTCCTCGACTTACGAACGAGTTAGGTTCCAGAGGTCTGTTCGTAAGTCGGTTTGTTCGTAAGTCCAAACTTTACTCCCGTCAATTTCAAACACGTTGTACGGCGTGTACACTAAACACGGGGAATGGCTTTAAGTGTTTTATAATCTCCTGTAGACGTTGATGCCACCAGTCCTTCACGTTCTGCAGATATAGATGCCACTGGTTCTTCACGTTCTGGAGATAGAAATGCTAATGGTCCTTTACGTTCTGCAGATGTAGAAATGCTAATGGTTCTTTACGTTCTGCAGATGTAGATGCCACCGGTCCTTCGCGTTCTGCAGATGTAGATGCCACTGGTTCTTCACGTTCTGCAGATGTAGATGCCACCGGTCCTTCACGTTCTGCAGATGTAGATGTCACTGGTTCTTCACGTTCTGTAGATGTAGATGCCACCACCATCACCTATTGCGCGGCGGTTGAGCTTACGACTCCCGGTCCGAACGGGCGACTGGACATACGGACAGGTTTGTTTGTATCTCTGAAAGTTCGTAAGTCGAGTGTGCGTAATTAGAGCAGTCCCTGTATAGGTGCTCGCGAAGAGCACTTGCCCCAAGAATCTGATGAAGGTTAATCAAGAAATATTTGTCTTGTTTGTATATATATGTAGGTAATGTGTCTATATGTGTGTGCTACTCACCCAGGAAGGTGCTGGAGATGTACTCTGAAACTTTGGTGCCAGAGAGACTGATCTCTGACAGTTGAGACAGCTCCCTGTTCAGCATCTTCTTAAACTGTACAACACACACAAAGATAAAGATCGCCCCTATAGCATTAATGGACTGTTCGGACAAGTGGTGTTAGCGAGCTCCTATGAAGGCCGGCACGGCACGCGAGGGGGTGGGTGGCCAGCACCACGCCCAGCCGCATTTGTCTCCCCTAGTGGCGATGTTCACACGTCGCACCAGATACTCATTTGAGGCCGAGTCCACCTAGGGGAGGCCCAGGACCGGTTCAAATAATCGTCACCGGTGTTGGCCGTGAGCGGCAATCGAACCCGGGTTTCCAGGTTCGTAGCTCAGCACGCACATCGCTCTCCACACACACACACGTGCACACACACACACACCTTGTTTGAGGCCATGCGGCTCACGGCCGTGTGAGTCTGAATCCCCTCCAGTTGCGCCAGGCTCCAGTCAAGTTCCTCCACAGACTCCTCCAGCACCACGCGAGCCCCTCCATCTACACGGTGGGAGGTGGTGTAACATGGCAATACGTGCATGTGAAGCCGGTTTGTTGTTCAATGAAGACGTGAACGCATCAGCTCTGCCCGTCTGTCTTTAACATGGGGGTCACGATAATTCTGGTAAAACAATTATCCGATGTTGATGGGATTTTAATATACATTTCTATCGCTATCAGCGACTTACCCTGGAGGCTGCTTGCCAAATCGATCAAAGAGTTTACCCAAGACTTGGCGATGACAAAAAAGAAATCGGCGCCAAAATCGATAATATTCGTCCTCCGCCGTGATCACCATCACCCGCCGAGCGCATGCCCCGACGTCACGTGCCGTGGTCACGTGCCATGGCTACGCCTTGCCGAGGGGCAAACGCGTGCCGGAAGGCGTTACGGCTTCCATGCGTGTGCATGATTTTGTTTTGTGTGTGGGTGTGTTTTTATACAACGCCGTGGTGCGTGTAGCGTCCTCTGTTGGCTGCATGGGGTCACGTGCATCAACGACGATGAAACTATTTCCATGGCCGCTTTATTCATTTCACTTGATGGATATAAGGACCTTTACCTTACAGCATTCCCGAGTTCTTCGCTGCGAGGGATACGTTCCGGAGACGCTCGTGTACAGCAAATTTCGCGGATAATGATATTGTCCTACGAAAACCGATCCTTTTGTTTCATGAATTACCTTAAATAAAAATACACAAGCTTTCAAACAAATTAAAATTATACCACAGACAAATATAAATTGTATTCTTAGTTTTTTCGGTAAAGTCACGTTGAAGAGAAACAACAAAATAACAAAATATATATAAAACAATAAAAAATTCTCACGACGTTTCGACCATAACTCAAACGGTCATCATCAGGTGTGTCGGTTTGCATAAATTTATTTTGAAAACGGCATATTTATTTATATATATAAAAATAACGTTTGCGTCACGCGCAACGATGGCAGTTTGCCAGGACTAGTCCATCTATTTTTTGAAAAGAGGAGGGGGGAGACGAAATTTGTTTTTATGTATGCTGTCTGAAAGGCACTGTAAGCGTGAACAATCAATCAAGAACTGAAATGATTTATCAAATCTTTCCAATGATTGCTAAGATAGAATCCATCTTCTCGGTTGAAATTGTCTCTGTGTTTGTATATGTGGATAGCCTCATGAACGAATCTCTCATGGAAGCCAGATGGCTTACAAAGAACCTCCGTCTTGGAAAAGTCAATGGCATGTGAGCCTACTGAATTAGAACAATGATCTGCTACGGCCGAGGTGTTGGTCCTACCGTGTTTAAGGTCTGCTTTATGTTCACGAATGCGGTCCGAGATATGGCGTTTGGTTTCTCCAATGTAACTACTACCACAGAGGCAACTTAGTTTGTAGACACCAGGGTATTGTATGTCCGGAATCACATCTTTTACAGACGGAACCAGATCACGGATTTTATGTAATGTGTTGAAACGGACCTGGATCTTGTGTTTATTCAAGATTTTGGAGATCTTTTTTGTGATCCCAGCAATGTAGGGTAAAGTGATGGTTTTGAAAGGCTCCTCAAGAGGGTTCTTCTTCATGGTTTGAGTGATAGCTTTGCGGATTGTATAGTCGGAGTAACCATTAGCCCTAAGAGCTTGGTGTACGTGCTTGAGTTCACTGCTTATGTGTTCCTGGTCGGATATGCATTGGGCTCTATGATACAGAGTCTTGATGAGAGAATTCTTCTGTGATGGATGGTGGTGGGAATCCGGTTTCAGATAAGCATCCGTATGGGTAGCTTTCCTGTAGACAGAGTGGCTCATTGAACCATCAGGTCTCTTTTTAATTAGGACATCCAAAAAAGGTATCTTGCCATCTATTTCGACTTCCATGGTAAATCTGATGGCTGGGTGTATGGAATTGATGTGGTCGAAGAATTTGTCTAGAGCAGGCCGGCCATGTGGCCAGATGACAAAAGTGTCATCCACGTACCTCTTCCATAAGGTTGGGCGCAGAGTGGCAGTCTGGATGGCGTCAGTCTCAAATTTCTCCATGAAAATGTTAGCTATAACTGGAGAAAGGGGGGAGCCCATTGGGGTGCCCTCAGTTTGTTTGTAGAAAGTTCCATTCCAAGTGAAGTATGTATTGGTTAAACAGTGTCTCACCAGGGGGGGTACCTCAGTGTTTAGTCCTTGATGAACCAAGTCTTCAATGATTGCAATGGTGTCAGGTACAGGAACCTTGGTGAATAAGGAAACTACATCAAAACTGACAAGCAGGTCGTCTGGGGACAGGGAAATACCCTTGATTGTTGATACCAGGTGAGTAGAATTTTGTACCGCAGAGGTGGTCTTTCCAGTGAAAGGACGCAGGATTTCAGACAAAAAACGAGCTAGTTTGTAGGTGGGGGAGCTGATAGTAGAGACTATGGGACGAAGAGGTGTATCAACTTTATGTATTTTTGGTAAGCCGTATAATCTTGGTGGCCTGGCAGCAGAAGGTTTCAACGAAAACTGTTTAGATTGATCAATTAATGCGGTTGAATCAGAAATTATTTTGTTGGTTTGTGTGACGAGGCTGTTGGTGGGATCTCTTTTTATTTTTGTATAACTACCATCGTCGAGTAATTCTTTAATTTTGTTGTTGTATTCTATTTTATCCATGATAACAGTAGCATTGCCTTTGTCAGCTGAGAGAACTACAATATCATTCCTCTTTTTTAATTTATATAATTCAAAACGCTCATCTTTGCTGAGGTTGCTAGCTGGGATCTTAGCGTTTTTGAGGGTTGCAGCGATTTCAAAATAAATTTATGCAAACCGACACACCTGATGATGACCGTTTGAGTTATGGTCGAAACGTCGTGAGAATTTTTTATTGTTTTATATATATTTTGTTATTTTGTTGTTTCTCTTCAACGTGACTTTACCGAAAAAACTAAGAATATGAATTACTGCAGTCACGAAAGCTTTAAATCAAAATATAAATTGGTTACAGTAAACGTGAAGTAAGTACCAATAAATATTAACAGTTTATAAATGAACTTCTCTTATCTTATCACTTGCTCTCATCACATTCTCTCTCATCACTTCCTCTCTCTCGATGCACCAGTCGTGTAGAGAATTCCAGATGCGATGCGCGGACAGCCAAAACCGCAGATATCAAGTTCGTGAATAACGAGGGAATGCTGTACTTTGTAGATATCAAGTTCGTGAATAACGAGGGAAAGCTATACTTTGTAGATATCAAGTTCGTGAATAACGAGGGAATGCTGTACTTTGTAGATATCAAGTTCGTGAATAACGAGGGAATGCTGTACTTTGTAGATATCAAATTCGTGAATAACGAGGGAATGCTGTACTTTGTAGATATCAAGTTCGTGAATAACGAGGGAAAGCTATACTTTGTAGATATCAAGTTCATGAATTACGAGGCAATGCTGTACTTTGTAGATATCAAGTTCGTGAATAACGAGGGAAAGCTATACTTTGTAGATATCAAGTTCGTGAATAACGAAGGAATGCTGTACTTTGTAGATATCAAGTTCGTGAATAACGAGGGAATGCTGTACTTTGCAGATATCAAGTTCGTGAATAACGAGGGAATGCTGTACTTTGTAAATATCAAGTTTGTGAATAACGAGGGCATGCTGTACTTAGTAGATATCAAGTTCGTGAATAACGAGGGAATGCTGTACTTTGTAGATATCAAGTGCGTGAATAACGAGGGAATATTGTGCTTCCACCAGAGCTGAAAGGTGGGAGTCATAAAGTGGATTTAGCCACCAGGCACAACAGGTGTTATAGGATGCTGGAGGGGGGGGGGGGCAAGGAACATGGGGATATCAGTGTATAAGGGTGTGTATGTGTGTACATTTAAAGCACAGCAGGTTGGCACAGTAGGGGGCACAGGTGGTGCATCAGCCAGTCATCTCAGTCATCTCAGTCAGTCGACCCGTGGCACCTGGGTCTGCCCCCGTGACCTCCTGCCCGCGGGCGTTCGACACTCCACGTGGCCTCAAGGTGCACATGGCCTGGCACAAGCGTCGTGGTGACGTCACCGCCACTTAGTGGCGAATGGCCGTTGTTGTTGTATTTATGTGAGAGCCTGTGTGTATATACATACGTTTGTGTCTTTGTCTACTTGTGTTAGTCGACACAGCCTCAAATGAGTGCCTGGTGCGATGTCTAAACATCGCCACTTGGGAGACAAAGGCGGCCGGGCGTGGTGCCGGCCACCCACCTTCTCGTGTGCCACAGCACTTGCCCCAACATTCTGGTTATGCTGTAACCGCGGAATCTTCGTACGTGTGACATTGATTTACCATTGATGCTGCTTTGTGGAGTTGCGACTGTAGCTGCGGGGTTTTGCCTGAAACAACATCATCAGCAGCAGCATCATCATCATCAGCAGCATCAACAAAGCTTGTGCTGACTTGAGCAAGGCTGTTGTGTGATGATGGTGAGTGCACTGCACTTGGAATGCAAAGGCTGCCGGTTCCATTCCATCTCCAGGAGCGGTGGCTCAAAACACAGAGTTGGCCAAAACGTTACTCCACTGAGGCTCCTGACACCTCTTTCCAGTGGAGGCGCTTCTACCGCTTCTACCGGCAGTGGTGTGAGCAAGCATTTGCAGGAGCTGCGCCTTTATGTTGATGTGATGGTGTGGCGGTGATGATGTGGATGCGGCAATGATGCTCATGCGGTGCTTGATGCTACTGTGTGTGATGGTGTAGTGAATGATGATGATGATACTGTGTGTGATGGTGTAGTGAATGATGATACTGTGTGTGATGGTGTAGTGAATGATGCTACTGTGTGTGATGGTGTAGTGAATGATGATGATGATGATACTGTGTGTGATGGTATAGTGAATGATGATCATACTGTGTGTGATGGTGTAGTGAATGATGATGATGATGATACTGTGTGTGATGGTATAGTGAATGATGATGATACTGTGTGTGATGGTGTAGTGAATGATGATGATGATACTGTGTGTGATGGTATAGTGAATGATGATACTGTGTGTGATGGTGTAGTGAATGATGATGATGATGATACTGTGTGTGATGGTGTAGTGAATGATGATACTGTGTGTGATGGTGTAGTGAATGATGATACTGTGTGATGGTATAGTGAATGATGATGATACTGTGTGTGATGGTGTAGTGAATGATAATGATGATACTGTGTGTGATGATGGAGTGAATTATGATGATACTGTGTAACTTCATGAATGATAATCTGTGTGATGATGTTGTCGATGATGATGATGATACTGTGTGTGATGGTGTAGTGAATGATAATGATGATACTGTGTGTGATGATGGAGTGAATTATGATGATACTGTGTAACTTCATGAATGATAATCTGTGTGATGATGTTGTCGATGATGATGATGATACTGTGTAACTTCATGAATGATCATCTGTGTGATGATGTTGTCGATGATGATGATGATGATTTTTATGACTATTACCGGTTTGGTAGATTTGCCAGGAAGCTGATGTTGTTACGAACGCTTCGGAGACTTGCCAGTACCTAGATCATCAGCATTATTATCAACACCACCACCATCATCATCATCAAACGCTATCATCAACGGTATCAACATCAGCACTACAATCAAAATCATTATCGACACCGCCGTCGCCAATATCACCGTAAGCCGCCTAACGCCCAAATCACCCCGGAATACACCCGATCTGGTCAGATATAGGAAGCTAAGCAGGCTTGAGCCGGGATAGTGCTTGATTTGGGTGACCACTGTGGATAACATCGCAGGCACGCAGAGGCCGTGTCGCACACTCATAAATTTCCTCACTTTCTTGTCTTTACCGCACATTCATTTTCGGGGCCATTGTCATCGATCGTACTTAACTTTTTAAGTAAAACAAATCAATCCCGAAGTATTCAAAGAGAGCTGTTTCCACAAACACAACGCACATCAAACACTGAAGAGCTAGCAGCCATCTTCTTTGGTTCTTTCGGTAAAGTCACGTAGAATGAGAATAACATAATAAATTGATAAAATAAAATAACACAATAATATTCTCACGACGTTTCGGCCACAACACAAGCGGCCTTCATCAGGTGAAGGGACGAGACTGTCTGGAGGACAGCGCTGGAGTGAAAAAGCCACGCTCACACAGCTTAAAAGGTCGCGATCTGAGCGTGGCTTTTTCACTCCAGCGCTGTCCTCCAGACAGTCTCGTCCCTTCACCTGATGAAGGCCGCTTGTGTTGTGGCCGAAACGTCGTGAGAATATTATTGTGTCATTTTATTTTATCAATTTATTATTTTATTCTCATTCTACGTGACTTTACCGAAAGAACCAAAGAAGATGAATCCTTGCAGTCACGAAAGCTTTAAATCGAAAAAGCTAGCAGCCAGTTGCTCTTGTGACGCTCATCAACGGGCGTCGCCGATTGGTTGAGGTCTGCCTCCACTTCGGACTCGGCAAAACACCGAGCGTCGCTCCGATTGGGCGAAATTTGGCGGGTCCGCTTGATGTCGCAAGCATGTCGCTAACCGAAAATGTATCGCTAACAGAAACAGCGGGACCCTATATGTGGAGGCGGATCGTTCATCTCGAATATCGTTGGTCGATGGCATCCCAAAAACGAGGGACCACTGTACTGTATTCGCTATGCTCCCACGCCCACACTCGCCGTTTTCACAATTCGAGCGAAGTGAAGTATGGTCAAAAGACCATCGCGACTGGCTCGGGCACGGGGAGGCCCTCGTTCAGCAGCGGATGGCATAAAAAGGGGCCCGTAAACATCAGCATCATCATTTCTAGCGTCAACACCACCACCACCACCGTCGTCGTCGTCGTCATTAACAGCGCTGTCAATCATGAACCGTGGGCTCACGAATGGTGAAATGAGCGGCGAATTAATTTCTCACCTGTGCGAAGGGCGTCACGATGACGTCATCGTGCCTGTGGGGAGAGACGACGTCACTTGTCACGAGGTGGCGAAGCAGGCTTGTTCCCTTTTAGCACTCGTTTTTTGTTTGTTGATCTCCCATGGTTTAAGAAAGCCCTTGATGGATTGGGCGGCTTTTTGTATATGCAAGTCAGGGAATGGCAACACAACTTTATATTAAATCTGCGTTCGTACCGGACAGGTGAAGAGAGCTAACGCGACCTTCGTTGGAAAACTTAAGAATAAAAACAGTAAAATAGGAGGGTAAAAATATATATTTGAGAGCCCAAAAAAACTAAAATGTTCCATTTTCTAATTTATTTATTCGCATATACTTGATAAATTGTGTGAATCTAGCCGTTCCAGAACATCATTAGATTATTGTTTTTATCAGTCTCGAATATTAATCTGTCTTGAAAACTCAACGGATTCATCAATAGCACCGTGTGTGGCCTTAAATGGAAACATATATGAATATATAATAGGTGACGTTTCGGGCTATGGTCCTTCCTCATAGCACATGCACGTGTGTGTATGTCTCTGAGTCAGCCAACCCATGGCACCACCAGGGTCTGTCCCGTGACCTCCTGCCAGCGGGCGTTCGACACTTCACGTGGCCCTAAAGTGCACTTAGCCTGGCACAAACGCCTTGGTGACATCACCGCCACTCAGTATTGTCTTTGTACGTCTGGCGTAGTTGCAGGACTGTAGCTAGCAGCACTGCGCTGCAATGTTGGCCACCCGGGTTTGCTTGCCAGCCACAGCTAGCATAAGTGGCAAGCAATATCTAATCGGTCCTAGGCTTCCCAGTATGTCGACTCGGCCTTTAAATGACCACTGGGGAGACAAAATTGCCAGGCGTGGTGCTGTCCACCCCCTCGTCGTGTGTGCTCTGGCTGCCTTCGCAGGTGCTCACTAACACCACGTGCTCCACCAGCAGGTGCTCACTAACACCACCTGCTCCACCAGCAGGTGCTCCACCAGCAGGTGCTCACTAACACCACTTGCTCCACCAGCAGGTGTTCACTAACACCACTTGCTCCACCAGCAGGTGCTCACTAACACCACTTGCTCCACCAGCAGGTGCTCACTAACACCACTTGCTCCACCAGCAGGTGCTCACTAACACCACTTGCTCCACCGGCAGGTGCTCACTAACACCACTTGCTCCACCAGCAGGTGCTCACTAACACCACTTGCTCCACCAGCAGGTGCTCACTAACACCATTTGCTCCACCAGCAGGTGCTCACTAACACCACTTGCTCCACCAGCAGGTGCTCCACCGGCAGGTGCTCTACCAGCAGGTGCTCACTAACACCACTTGCTCCACCAGCAGGTGCTCACTAATACCGCTTGCTCCACCAGCAGGTGCTCACTAACACCACTTGCTCCACCAGCAGGTGCTCGCTAACACCACTTGCTACACCAGCAGGTGCTCACTAACACCGCTTGCTCCACCAGCAGGTGCTCACTAACACCACCAAACCACCAGCAGGTGCTCACTAACACTACTTGCTCCACCAGCCACTGCAGGCTACACTGGGGATTCATGTACGTGCCGTTTGTGTTTGTAGCTATGTACCTGGGGGTGCGGTGGTGTAGTGGTTAGCGCTATGCTGCACTACGAACCCCGGCGAGCCGAGTTCGATTCTCGCTCACGCCCAACAGCGGTGACGATTATCTGAATGGGTTCTGGGCCTCCGCTAGGTCGACTCAGCCTCAAATGAGTACCTGGTGCGGTGTGTAAACATCGCCACTGGGAAGACAAAGGCGGAGGGGCGTGGCGCTGGCCACCCACCCCCATGCGTACCGTGCCGGCCTTCACAGGTGCTCGCTAACAGCATTTGCCCCTACAGTATGTTGAGGCTACACGGGAGATCTTTGTTCCTCGTATATGTACACTCATTCAAGCATTCATGCGTGTATGGTAATTATAATTCACCACAACACATAGTCGTCTCCGACATGGCCGTTACGAACATTCATGCAGGTTAATTCAACACAACACACACACACGGCGTCTTTTGACAAAGCCATAACCTGACAATGCCTTTACGAACCACCTGAGACAAACACCCAGAATCAGGGCTAAATTCCAGGACCTCAGTGTTTCTGACACGAGCAATGAAGCACACAGCACGTGGCTACTATGAACCTAAATGTCCATTATGTAGCTGACGGCCTTTTCGGAAGCTGACGCTTCAATTTCAAATCTGACGACCACGGCCATTCCCACTGCTTCGCCAAGGCCTCTAGAGGCGTTTGAGCAGCCTCATGGCATCCACAACCACTGGCAATGAGCGGCTACACCTGTGTGTACAGTTCCAGCCACCAGCCGCAAACACTGGCCGGTGACAAGCGAGATAATGCCCCACGCAGAGGTCAAATGTCGCTCGGATTAACGAGGCATTGTGCAGTCCGCTCCGGCAGGTTACGGTTTGGACATTGCGACGTGCCGGCAGTAGAGGATTTTGCATCTCCTGAGCAGAGGAGGATGTCAAGCAGTGCCGGATTAAGCTAGTGTGGGGCCTGTAGCATATGTTATAAAGGGGCCATGAATAAAAACAACACGTAAATATTAAAACACATTTTTAACTTGCATTGTAAAGTCATTGTATTTTTTCATTTCCTATACAGCCAGATAATACGACAAATCGCTAACCTTAAACACCTGGTCGATCATAAAAGTTGAAGGCAGTATAGTACTATAGTAATAGAGCAAGTGCAGAATCACTGAACCGGAATTGATAGCTTGAAAGCATTTCTGCGTGGGGCCCTTGAAAGTGCGGGGCCCGTAGCATACGTAGCTGCTTGTGCTACTGGGATAATCCGGCACTGATGTCAAGGAGCAGTTTTCCAATAGACCGTGGTCTGGTCAATATGCCACCCATAGAACGATGTTCTCCCCCTACGAGGGGATTTAAACGTCCATGAAAGGAAGTGGCAGAGGAATTTGTACTTTCGCAGAAATGTCTATAATTCAGTGGGCCTGCGAGGGGTGGATCAAGGGGTGTATTGCTTTAGAAGGACCGTTTTTTGATGGGCCGTGGAGAGCATTATTGGAAGGGAAGAGAGATGAGTCTGAGCGTAAAGGAAAAGGTAATTTGAGGCAGGAGGGCCCTCTGTGTTCCTGTACGGCTCAGACTGCTGGACGCTAAGCAGCTCGGAAAATAAGTTGTTGGCGTTTGAGCAGAGACATCTGAAACGGATGCTGGGAATTTAATGGCACCACAGGAGAAGCAACGCAGAAGTCAAGAGGAGAACATGGCCGGTAGGGCGCCACCGTATGCAGGAGGTCATGGGTTCGATCCAGACCCTGATGCCTGTATATTTGGAGTTTGCATGTTCTCCCCGTGGTGGCATGGATTTTTTCTCCGGGTCCTCCGGTTTGTCGCTCCACTTTTAGAATCAACGTGCGTTTCGGGAATTTGGCTGCTCAACATTTCCACACGGTGATGAGCCCCTCCGTTGGGCTGTCATTTGTGGCCAGGTCGCTTCTGAAAAAGAGCTACGTGGCTCAGCGGTTCTCACGTGGTAAACTCGAAATTAGTTAAATGAGTTTTTAGTTCCAGGCGTTGCAGATATGGTCCGGCAAAAAAATAAATGGGTTCAGGCTGGGTGGGACGCGCGTGCTGGATGGGAGAGGGCCGATTTGCCGAGACCGGCATTGGAGTAGTCTCCACCAGTCCGGTAGCCGAGGGGAAAGACCTCGGATCAGATGGTGGGGAGACCTCTAGGGCAGAGGTGGCATATCGACTGACAGGGCAGCGGCGAGATCCAGTGGTTGAAAGCGTCTGCCTGTGAGGTGGGCGCTGTGGCCATCAATGGCTTTGGCCATGATGACGTCTTGATCTTGATCGTGGCCATTCGGCACTGGATACGGCCGCTATGATTCTAAAGAGAGATACGCCCAGACCCAAGGATCTAACTGAGCATCTTGGAGGTGTCTGGCTTGTCTAAAACTGGCATCGGCGAGCAGTGTTAGTAGACGGTTTGTTGAAATGAAGGTTGCATCGACACGATACTATTAAATATCGTATGATACAAGGTTCGCGATATTGGTATCGTTCGTTACATGAAACGCCGCCATATCGTGAATATCATTGCTCATTCTATTTAATAACTAATTTCCTGACAAAATGTTGACGGGATCACGAACGCAATAATGAAGGTAGTGAATGGCTAATACCCACTATATTCGTGCTTTGTAAAATGTTTTCCGGAGTGATTAACACGGCATGGCGATTATTCGACGTCACGATGTCCCGTGTTAGTTTATCGCGCAGCCAACAGCATTATGCACTCTTGAGAATTTCAAATTGTACCGGTCCAATAGTTCAGCAGACATATGGCAGGCTGATGATTGCAGCTGACGTAAATGTAAAAATATACATTTATAAATATATACGGGACACTGATATCTTAATAAATTGCAATGTCGTGACATTTCATATCGTGTCGTCAACACAACTATATCGTGCCAACCTGAATAGTTTGTTAGTGCAATCGACATGCGCATGATGTCACTGCCGTGTGGACAGCCGCATTGATAGCAGTGAAGTCATCAATGTAATATTGTCAACCGAAAGTCTTTGTTTTTTTTTAATATGCCCACGTTACTGGGGACTTACAACCTCTTGTTGCCTATGCCTAGCACAGGCTCAGACTTGTAGGAAGGAAGGCGGCCATGACGAACTCTATAAGAGACATTGAACACAGAATGGGTTGGACAGAGAGCGGTGAGTGTGCGTGAGTCAATGGGTGAGTGAATGAGTGTGGGTGAGTAAATCAGTATGCGTGAATGAGTGGGTGTGTGAGTGACTGTGTGTGAGTGAATGAGTGTGCGTGAGTGAGTGTGGGTGAGTGAGTGAATGGGTGAGTTGGACAGTGACTGCGTGTGAGTGAATGGGTGCGTGAGTGAGTGTGGGTGAGTGAATGAGTGTGCGTGAGTGAGTGTGGGTGAGTGAATGGGTGTGAGTGTGTGTGTGCGTGTGGGTGAATGGGTGAGTTGAACAGTGACTGCGTGTGAGTGAATGGGTGCGTGAGTGAGTGTGGGTGAGTGAACGTGTGCGTGAGTGAATGTGGGTGAGTGAATGGGTGTGCGTGAGTGAGTGTGTGTGTGCGTGTGGGTGAATGGGTGAGTTGGACAGTGACTGCGTGTGAGTGAATGGGTGCGTGAGTGAGTGTGGGTGAGTGAATGGGTGAGTGAATGAGTGTGGGTGAGTAAATCAGTATGCGTGAATGAGTGGGTGTGTGAGTGAATGGGTGAGTTAATGAGTGTGCGTGAGTGAGTGTGGGTGAGTGAATGGGTGAGTGAATGAGTGTGGATGAGTAAATCAGTATGCGTGAATGAGTGGGTGTGTGAGTGAATGGGTGAGTGAATGAGTGTGCGTGAGTGTGTGTGTGGGTGAGTGAGTGAATGGGTGAGTTGGACAGTGACTGCGTGTGAGTGAATGGGTGTGTGAGTGAGTGTGGGTGAGTGAATGGGTGAGTGAATGAGTGTGGGTGAGTGAATGGGTGAGTGAATGAGTGTGGGTGAGTAAATCAGTATGCGTGAATGAGTGGGTGTGTGAGTGAATGGGTGAGTTAATGAGTGTGCGTTAGTGAGTGTGTGTGTGCGTGTGGGTGAATGGGTGAGTGGGACAGTGACTGCGTGTGAGTGAATGAGTGCGCGAGAGAGTTAAGAGGTGCAAATTAACGGGGTGTTTTGTGAGTGGGTGGGTGAATGGGTGAGCTATAGAGTGAACGAGAAGCTTGTGAGTTTACCTACCCCTCGCTGATGATGGACGACTTGCGCGAGTCGCTCCGAGTCGATCCCTGGCTCTCCCCGCGGTAGAGGAACGACTCACGACGCTGAGGGGCGACGTGAGGACCCGGGAACACAGAGCCCTCCTCACTGCATCATCGTCAGCAGGAGCGGCATCATCATCGTCAGCAGCAACAACATTGTTTGGGTTAGATCGCGTAAATATATAAATGTGTCGTTAAACCCGCCACCACCCGACACGGCCAATTAGTAAAGGTTTCTCACGTAAACAGAACGTGCCAATTCGTTGCTAGTACACCACACCGGCGTGTTGGAGAGTAAACCCACAACATCTATCATCCGACTACGACGTTTCGCCAGTAATTACGAGCATAATCAGTAATACGTAAATATGTATTATTTGACGGCACGCTTCACACAGGTATAAAACAAATTCTTAAGAGGTTGCTGGGTGGCTTAGAGATCAGACGCCTGGGGCTGGAACCACTCAGAACACGGGTTCCAAACCAGGTTTAAGCCGCCGGCGATGAAGCGCGGTTCTCAAGTGTACCGAGTTGATATAACCTGAGCGTGATCACCAAAGACTCGTAGAGATATCACCCATAGATAAATAGACCCATTCACCAGAGAGACCCGAAGACTAATGTGGAGATCCGTAGACTGACGTGGAAACCCAGACTCGCATAGAGACTCATAAACCCACATTGAGACCCAGAAACTCGCGGAGACCCATCGACTAACATGGAGATCCATAGGCTCGTGTAGAAATCCACTCACATGGACTCGTACGCCCACATAGTAGACCCACAGACTTACACAGACCCTTGTAATAAACATAATCTCAAGTTTTGATTTAAAGCTTTCGTGACTGCAGTAATTCATATTCTTAGTTCTTTCGGTAAAGTCACGTTGAAGGGAAACAACAAAATAATAAAATATATATAAAACTAACACACCTGAAGACGACCGTTTGTGTTATGGTCGAAACGTCGTGAGAATTTTTATAGTTTTATATATATATATTATTATTTTATTGTTTCCCTTCAACGTGACTTTACCGAAAGAACAAAGAATATGAATATAATCTCAAGTGTCGGGAGTTGATGGTTTCGGCCCAGTCACCAACGACTATGCTAACTAGGCCATCTCATTACAACACATTTTGTTTGGGTCTCGAACTAATTTCGCTGAATTTCAGTTGAGACAATTACGCGACCAACGTCACTCTCACACGCCAAGCGTGTGGGGAAGTGCTGCCCTACGTGGTGTCTCGTAAAGGTCAATTTGGAGGTGCCTCGGATGTGGCTCTGTGATATCCACTTCCATTGGGCCATCCTCTAGCACGAAGGGTCGCATTGTTCTGCGGGAGTTCCCACTGCGATTCATCATCTCGTGACGCTAATGCCACAGACAGGACGGTCCACACACTGCAGAATGAACTAAGCATCACTAACAATGTTCTTAGACAGCAGCATTTCTTATATTTATATAACGGTGTGTAAAATAAACCCGCGGAACATTGCACGTGCAGTGACATCATTTGTGCTTCACAACAGACGAGATATGAGATGTATTCGGGAGAGACATAGACAATATGACACGTATTTATCATCAGTAACATCAATAACAAGTGATATGAAGTTCTCAACACTACACCATCGGGATCAGAAACAGCAACATCAACCTCCGTTACCATTAACAAAATCGATTTTACAATCATCACCATTGTCAACATGATCATTAACATCAACGTCATTGTCAAGATCATGAATAACACCGCAGTTGTCAGCATCAACATCATCAGCTTCAACATCGTCATGAGCATCAGCATCATCAGCAGCATCATCTTACCTGGAACCGTGAATACAGCTGCAGGACAAAGACGCACGTTTGTATTTGAAAGACATTGGGGTGAGTTGGTGAGTGAATGAGTTTGTTGAGTGGGTGGGTGGGTGAGTGGGTGAGTTGCTGGGTGTGTGCGTGGTAAAGTGAGTTGATTAGTGAGTGGGTGGATGCGTGAGTAGGTGAGTGAAAGAGTGAGCGGGTGAGTTCACGAGTAGGTGAGTGAGTGATGAAGTCAGTTTGTGAGTGGGTGAGTCATTAAGTGTGAGAGTCGGTAAGTGAATAAGTGGGTGAATGAGTTTATGGAGTGCGTGAGTGAGGGAGTTTGTGAGTGAGTGGGTTAGAGAGTGAGTGAATGAGTTGATGAGTGAATGGTTAGAGAGTGGATAAATGTGTGTGTGGGTCAGTAAGTTGGTTAGTGAGTAGGTGTGAGTGAATGAGTGGGTTAGCGAGCGAGTGAATGAGTGGGCGAGTGAGTGGGTGGTAGGTAGGTGTGTGTGTGAATGGGTGTGTTAAGAGAGTGAATAGATGGGTGTGTTAGAGAATGAATGAGTTGGTGAATGAGTGAGTTAGCGAGCGAGTGAATGAGTGGGTGGTTGGGTGAGTGAGTTGGTGGTAGGTGTGTGTGTGTGAATGGGTTTGTTAGAGAGTGAATATATGGGTGTGTAAGAAAATGAATGAGTTGGCGAGTGAGTGAATGAGTGGGTGGGTGAGTGGATGGTATTTAGGTGTGTGTGTGTGTGTGAATGGGTGTGTTAGAGAGTGAATGAATGGGTGTGTTAGAGAATGAATGAGTTGGTGAATGGGTGGTTTAGCGAGCGAGTGAATGAGTGGGTGGGTTGGTGGGAGGTATTTAGGTGTGTGTGTGTGAATGGGTGTGTTAGAGAGTCAATGAGTTGGAGAGTGGGTGAACGAATGAGTGGTGGATGAGTGAGTGAGTCAGTGAGCTTCTGCCGAATTATCGGACATACTCCGCCAACCTTTCCACATGTCTGATCTGGAGTCGAGTGGAGGATAGAAGTCTGGACAAGAGAAGAAACATGCGACATGTAGACACAAACATGTACACACACACGTGCTCATGCGTACATACACATTTACCCACACACACGAACATAAACACATCACAAATACAGACACATATACAAGCATACAAAGACAGACACGAATACAAAGAGAAACGTACACAAGCACACCTTGGACAAACACACACGTGTACACACAGCCAGACGTGTATACATGGTGTACATACACACACACACGTATATACAAACACACACATACCAAATACCAATACACATACGTGTACACACACCCTCTCGTGTAAACACATATACATAGCCAGGTTATAAATGCATACACACACACGTATATACAAAGACAAACACATACCAACACACACACGTGTACACACACACACGTGTACACACGCACACAGCTAGAAAGTTATAAATATACGAGACAAAAATAAGCCGCAGCTGGGCAGCACACAAACCCAGCTCTGAGCGCAAAGCAGAAACAGCCATCGACTGTGGTCTCTGCGTTGATGGTGGTGATGGTGGTGGTTGATGATGATCGTTGTGATGATGCTGATGATGATTGTGGTGGTCGTGGTGATGATGGCGGTTGTGGTGGTGATGATGGTTATGGTGGTTGTGGTGGTGATGATGGTTATGGTGGTCGTGGTGATGATGGTTGTGGTGGTGATGATGGTTAAGGTGGTCGTGGTGATGATGGTGGTTATGGTGATAGTGGCGATGGTTGTTATGGTGGTGATGGTGACAGAGATAATGATGTTGGTGTTGTTGGTGATAGTGATGTTGATTTTGATAACAGTGGTGATGATGGTTGTGGTGTCAGTTGTGGTGATGGTGATAACGATCTTAATTATGTTAATTATTATGTTGCAGTTTGTGACTACGATGATTATATTGATGGTGATTATGTTGTTAGATGCTAATAGTTATGTTCATGATGGTAGTGGTGATTGTCAATAATGATGGGTGATACGGATGGTAATGATGTTGATGATGGTGCTGATATTAATGATGACGATGGTGGTAATGATGATGTATAACGATGACATCTGGGATGGTGACGATTATGATCGTCTCTTCTTCCTCGTATGCTGGGAAAGTTTGAGTGAGAGTTGGGCTGAGAGGGAAGGATAGGGGGACGTGGTGGGGGAGTGACTTCACGAGTGTGTGTCTGTGTCTGTATGTCTGTGTGTGTGTCTGTATGTCTGTGTGTGTCTGTACGACTGTGTGTGTATGGCTGTGTGTGTGTGTGTCTGTGTGGGGGATCTTTGTATGTCTGTGTGTGTGTGACTGTGTGTGTATGTCTGTCAGGTGCGAGGGGCTGGTAACCCCTCCACCTTCAATTAACTACCACTAAACCACGATCACAAAATTTTATAAATAAGCTTGTGCCGGAGACCCCGGGGGGACAGGCGTCTATGACGTCTCCTGGCCAAACCCCATTTGGTGGAGCCAGGAAATCGAATCCTTACCCTCGGTGCTCCTCCAGAAACAACAAAAAGCCACTTCGGATGGCCAAGTGGAATGTTAGAACGCTCACTGCGGAGGTAAGGCTGCCACTCCTCTATCGGGAGCTGGACCGGTACCGCCTGGATCTCTTCGGCATTCAGGAGGTCCGGTGGACCGGTTCTGGCTCCTGCCACCATGAGGGGTGGACAGTCCTCTACTCGGGGCAGCAAACTGCCAAACAACAGAGAGTGACTCTTCTTTTGAACAAAAAAATGAAGGGGGCGTGGGAGCGTGGCGGTGAGGTGTGGGAAGCTGTAAGCCTCAGGCTACTTTGGGCTCGCCTTCCCATTAACCGGAGGCGAGGAATGGTGGTCGTGGTTACTTATGCCCCCACCGAAGACGAAGATCCGTGGAGGGATGCAGGCAAAGCCGATGAGTCAGATGCCTTCTATGACCTCCTGTTGCAGGTGCTGGCTAAAGTGGCCCCTCGGGATAGAATCATCTTGTTGGGTGACTTCAATGCCCGAGTTGGTTATGATGCTAGCACCTCGTATGGAGTGATTGGAAGACATGGGCCAGATCAGCTCAATAACAACGGTAGGAGGCTGCTAGATTTTTGTGCAGCCCATGGGCTTGTAATTACCAACACGCTGTTCCGGCATCGGTGCATCCACACAACATCATGGATGCATGCCGGGTCCAAGCAAGAACATCTGCTGGACTACATAGTGATGGAACAGCAGATGCGGGCCCATGTCCTTGACACCAGGACCTACTGTGGAGCTGATCTGCCCACTGACC